GGCAGGCCCGGAGGTGGTGGCGGGGAGCGACTTCGCACAGCTCCTGCCTTCGTACGTGCCTCAGCGGGGGACAGGCGGGGCCGGGCGCTGTGGTGGAAGGGCCTCCAGAGAGTTCTGGAGCTGGTAGCAAGCGATATAAAGGAGAAGTTAAAATCCGTGTTAAAGTAAATCTGAAACTATTGGTGCTGGGGGTGTGGAAGGGGGGCTCGCGTCCATGTACGTCCTCTCGGAAGTGACGGGGTGGGGGGGCTGGTGGCTCCTCCTGCCGTTAGGGAAACATTAACCTGGGGTTCTGCTATCCTTTGGGGGTAAAACAGGTCAGAAAGTACCTTGCAGAAAAGAGCTTAGGACTGAATAGGCGCAAACGACAATGCAAATTCCCATTTTTACGGTCGATGCGTTTACAAACCGGCCATTTTCTGGAAATCCTGCTGCAGTTTGTCTGCTTGAAAATGTAAGTTAAAAAAAAAATAACCGTTTTATGAGGGACTGCGATGGCATTTACCGTTCTGTACTTGACCTGAGCACTCGGTGCTGCATTAGACTTTGCTTCCTTTACTCAGGAGTTCTGCTTGCAAGCGTTGTTTGCTGTTGCTCCAGAATACAGAGAAAATAGCACAGGTGTACTCTTCTCTTCCTTCAGAATGATTTCATACAAGACATGCTTTGTATGTTTTGTGGTGGTTTTTTTTTTTTTTTTCTTAAAGGAATATACTTTTCTTAAAGGAATATATATCTTAAAGGTTTTATTCTGATTTGTCAAAAAGAAATGACTTAATTTCAAGGGATTCAGAATGAAATCTCTGAAAGGAAATGCAATAACAGAATCAGTACTGATTTTTTTAATAAAACTGGGGTTTAGTTTTGGTGTGGTTTTTTTCTCCCTTTTTTCCTTTTCTTTAATTTTTTTCTCTTTCTATGGAAGGAAAGAGGGGGAGTATAAACCTGAATCTGAGTCTTCCACTGTTCATGTCTCAGATTCAGCTTTTGCCACGTTTAGACAGCCAGTTTTTATTACTTCAACGTTACGTGGTAGTTTTAGTGCAATTGGCAGCAGTCCTCCTCATCAAGGTGTTCTTGAACAGTTGGTACTAACTGGGACACTTGACAATTTCTACCAAAAACTGTTTATTAAAGTGGATTAGAAAGGTATAGGCCTTATATTATTTATATAATGACATCTGAGGAAAATTGTAAGTATGAAAATATATGTAGAGCAGTCAATGGCAATAGTTTGCACAGACAATAAGAAACCTTTCTAAATGTTCCTAAGCCTATCCAGCTCTTGTACAATATAGCCTACTTACAGGTCAGCTAAAGTTATGATTGAGAACATCTCACTGCAGAGGTATTTTTGGCCCCCTAAAATTTAAATGCTCACTCTCAGAATCAATTTACTTTAAAACTATGCGCCTCTAATGACATTTTTATATTAATTTTACTCCATTGCATTCATGTATTGTGAGGGCAACTTATTTGCATGTTGCCTTTGGATTGATGAGATTTGAAAAGTTTTTTTCTCCAGTACCTGGGGCTAGAGGCTTTAGTGTCAAATTTAAAGATGAGATTCAGTTAAAGCTGGGATTATAATTTATAATTTTATTCTAAGATCCAGGAAAGTATGGTGCAGCTAGCAACAATATTTCTGTTCTCCGTTCCCTTCAGAGTCTCAGCAGATGCTTTACAAAAAGTAAATGGGAGCAATGCAAGAATGGCAAAACAAGCCCTTTCTGTGTTTCAGAAGTGCCACAGGATGGCAGTATTTCAATAAAGTTCTATTATATTTAATAACATTTTGATTGGTCTTTGTTCTGGTTTAGTATCTTTAGAGTAATTGGCAGTCAGAAATATTTTGCTTGAATAAAGGAGAGGTGCTCATTATTGTAAAAAGTAAGAATGTTGTTTCACTGTATAGAATTCACTCTGCAAGTACAGGTCTATGATACGCATCAGTAATTGTATCATAGCTGTAGTATGGGGTCATTGGCTGAAAAGGATTAAAGTTATTAAGGGAAATAAGTAAAGTTAGCAGGGCAAATTTTTATCTGTCAGAGGGTGAACGTGGCTAGGTCCTCTCAGTACTTTGTTTCATTTGTGTTTCAATATTTTAAAGACCAGATTCTCAAACCTGGCCAGTCAGCACAATTGTGGGGAGAGGGCAATGGAACAAGGGTGAAGTAGAATTTTATACAATCACTACAACTCATGTATCCTGGGGTCAACGTTCAGTGGTTTAAATCTGCAGGCAGTTAGAGCAGAATGTGGTAAGCTCCAGCTTTTTCAGTTTATCTCCTCTTAGTTTCTGTTGACTTACCATATTGTTCCCGTTGTTCAAAGAGTAGTATCAAGGGTAGAGCCATAAGCACTGATCAGCCATCTTGGCCATTGCCCTAGCCATTACTATGCACCTCTTGCTGGCACGGATTTTTCAGAGTTCTAATAAGAGAGTTATAGTTATTTTTAGATTGTGTTAATAATGACTTCTCAGTGGGACTTTAATCTTGAATTTAAAAAAAGATTTGTGTTCAAGGAAAGACTGAGTTTAGATTTTTTGGTGAGTTTATTTTCCACGTATTCCAAGAATTTCTAAACTAATAGGACAGATACTAGAAATGCACATATATTACAGTGATTAAACTAGTTATCCCATTTTATGCTTAAAGTTTTTTTTACTCTCAGAAAGTATTTTGAACTAAAAGATGTGAAGCTATGTTTTATTATAATAGAAAATGAAATTACTGTATTTATTTGACAGAAAGTTTGATTCTGTGTTTTGTGGCCTGCTTTTCATTGGATTTGTTGTTTCATCATTAGGACTTGGATGAAGATTTGCACCAAAAAATTGCAAGAGAAATGAACCTTTCGGAAACAGCTTTCATCAGAAAACTGCGACCTGGAGATGACTTCACCAAAAGTAAGCAGTTCTGTTTATCTGCCAAAATCTGATACAAAGGAATAGGAAGACATTGTGGGTACATGTATAAGGAATGGTACTAAGACAGCCAAAGCAAAATCTTGGAGTTGTAATGTCTCTTACTTAAGATAATAATAAACCTTTTGCACATGGATTCTTTAAAGTATTTGCGCTGCATATCAAATTAATTTTACAATACACAAACATTTATTATTCATAAATCAGACTATTTGTTTTAGTGCCTTTTATTAAATAAGCAAGTTGTATGTAGAAAATCTCCTAAAAATGCTATGCAAAGATCCTGCAATTATTACTTCTATTACTACTAATAATCTCCTGAGATAATTTCTTATTATACAAGCAGAAGAATAGAGATGGAACTTGCTTATTCTATACGCACAAGACTGCAAAGTGTGTAGAATCTGGCCTGGCTATTCAGGAAATCATCACTGGGGTAACCGTAAGCTATTATTTGAGTTTGTCACAAGATCTCATAAGCTATCTGTGGACCCAGTACTGGAAAATACAAGTTTCCAACAAAACTGGGAAATCTGAAGTTGCCCAAAACAAACACATTACACTGCTCATTTGATTGGTTTGAGTGAAGGGACTTCACTGGTGTTCTTTGGTAGTGCGTGTATGTTAGATGGGAGAGGAAACGGAGAGACACTAGAGAAGACAGAAAATACCACGCAAATACAGAGTCTTGTCAAAATTGCTTTGTGAATTAGTTTTCAGCTGAATCAGTTTGCTGAATCTGTTCTCTTTGCTGTTGTGTGGTGGCATTAGCCAAGGGGCTGGAACCCCACTCCTGGAGTTAGATTCCAGGTTAAGGTATCATGTCAGCATGCCCTTGCTTTGGTACAACATAGTGGAAGAGAGAGAGAAACAGCTTTGGGGTTGTTGGTTGTGTGAAAGAGGCCCTAGAACCGTATGCAAAGAAACTGGTCTTTATCCTTTGGTTGGTTGTTCAGGGAGTGGGATTTTGTACGGTCTCTAATTAAGAGTATTTTCTTCAAGTAGTAACTATCATTGCTTACTCCTATTGTCAATAAATTGGAGGTTTTTTTAGGGTTGCACTAATTGCTTGAATCAAGAAGTGATAATACTTTTCATTTTTCATGTTAACATTTTTCATGTTAACACCTTGCCAATATGTTTAATACATTTATTTATTTTCAAATCATCCATATCCAACAGTATCTAAAATGCCAGCTTCTTTCTCATTAAAGTGCGTTTGGTATTAATGGGACTAGAGTTTGTGACAGCAGACCCACACAGCTGCAGAAGAGGTACACAAGTTTTTCGAAGGAATTTAGTCACTGAGCTACCTCAGAATGTGTGTATTGAGGGGTGGTGGGAGGGAGAGGAGACCAGGAACTTCAGAATGTCATTTCTGAGACTATCATCTGCTTCTGGAACATTAATTGGTGTAGTGAGGGCCCCTGGACAGAGAGAATGTTTTGCTGGAGTACGAGTTTGTGATCGGTGCGTTTCATTTAATTTTAAAGATCTACATTATTTTAGGGATACCTTGATTTATGAGAGTATAAAATGTTTTCTCAGTCCGAGTACAGCTGTACGTCTCAAGCATCCACTCCATTTCCTCCTGCTTTCAGCCACAATTTCCACTTGGGGGAGTGCCGTAACACCACAGGGCAGGCTTGCAGCTGGGTTCTGGGTCTGCCCTGTCTCAGAGCACTTCTCTGCCATACCCTTTAGTTTCATCCACTAGGTTTTGTTGGGATTCTATTTGTTTTCATTAGATAGGGGACTGTGACTTCCATGCACTGATTTTTCACAGGGGCAAGGACAAGACTTGTTTGTTGGTTTTAAAACAAATATTGTTTGTTTCTTTTGTACCTTTTAGCTGTGTTCGTATGGTAATTATTCACTTGAGACATATTTTCATAAGCATTATCTTAAATGACATAGTGCAAGAACTCTGCAAAAGCTACAGGAAACCAAGTATAGTGCACTTGGCTTCCAATTTTTTTAAACAACAAATAGACATATGATTTCCAGTGAAATGAAGGGTTAGTGTACATTAGAGGCTTTTGCCAGACTTGGCTGGTGGTTTAAGCACAATAATTTGTAACTGACCTAGCTCTGATACACGTTCTACTATACCAAAAAACCTAGCTTTAACCCCTAGAGTGTACCCTAGCCTGCAGTGTGTAGACATTGTGACTGTGACTTTGTAGAATTCCATAATACACAGGGACACAGAGGCTTTATCTTCTAAATTCTCTACTTCATTAGAGGTTACCAAATACCCCCAAAATCACCACTAGCAAGTATCCCTGTGATTAATAAAGTGAACATATATATCTCTCTCAAGCTATTACAAATTATTATCAATGATCAATAGTATAGCAGGAATCAATAATAGCAGCAAGAAGTATATATATAGTATTACAGGTTACTACAAACTTCTTATTAGTCAATAATCAAACTTATCAATAATATAACAGCAGATGCTGTTGCATATAAGCAGGTTGCTTATATGTATGTATATGATACCAAGCACATTAAATAGATTCCAGGGGGAAGACAAGCGGTTCCCAGAGGGGCCCCAACCGTCCCAGAAGTGGGAGAACAAACCAAACCAAGCCCAGAAGTGGGCCCAGAGGGGGACCAGTAAAATAACAGTCTCACTTCAAAGATGATCTGTGTCATGGAGTTTGGAGTCAGCCACATGTCCCCAGCAAGGTCTGTGATCTCGTAGGAAGTTTATGCAGACCTGTTTAGGAAAAGAAAAAAATATATGCAGCACAGAAAGTTCTTGGAGAAAGAAGCTCCGTTTTGAGTAAAAATTAAATTATTTTTATGTCATAGAGACATAAGAGAATGTAGGACATCACCACTTCAAGAAGCCAATAGATGCTGTTAATCTCTGTTTTTCACCTGGAACAGCCAATAGATGATGATATTTTCTATTCTTTCAGACCAATTTTTATTTTTCCAGACTGTTCCAGTTCTTTCAGTTAGAACAGTCAATGGTGGTTAATGATTCTTACTTTCTCAGGATGTTTTCCCCCTTTTCCGGACTTTTTTTTCACCTTCTCAGATGATAAGTTGCTGTTACAGTTTGTTGGTTTTGTGCTTTCTGATGATATCTCATCATGTGTCTGGTTCCTAATTACCCAGCAGCACTTCAACGGTGCCAGCTGTGCTGTTGCTTCTGGTTCCCAAGCCTGCGAGCATTCCTACTCTGCAGCTCCTTTGCTCTTGTAACAAAGTACCTTTCCTCCATTAGTAGTAGACTGCTGTTATTGACCTGACTGAAAAGCAATATCTATTCCAAAAATCAGTACAAAATAGGTTCCTAAAAGGGTGTTTAAGACCAACACCGACTATAACATGCATTTTGATTAACTGAAATGTCATCACTCTGTATAAAGTTTTGAGGTAAATTGAAGAACTAGACTTCTTCCACTTAATAACGCTAAATAAACTTTATTTTCAAGGTTCCTGCTTTGGACTCAGATGGTTCACCCCAGCCAATGAAGTTCCTCTCTGTGGTCATGCTACACTTGCAGCATCTGCTGTGTTGTTTCATGTACAAAGTATGTTTACAAGCTATTTATTACTATAACTTTTTAGGAAATTTACTTCTAATTAAGAAGATCTCTATTTTCTTACAACAAAGGCAATTAAATATTCAGAACATTTAAAGAACGCATATGGAAATACCTTAAGTATTGTCTTTTACAACTGCTCTGTAATTGCAAGGTTGTAGTCTGATGCCTGCACTGGGATTCCGATGCCCTAGTATTACTCTTATTTAAGAACAGTGCTAAATATGCAGATGTCACCAGGGAGAGGAATAGTAGAATTTGATAAATAGAGAATGAATAGGAAATTTAACCAAATTCTGTTAAAAGGAAATTCCCATTCATTCTAGGAATGTGCAGGAAAGATTCACCGGCAATTGCTGTGTTTATTAGCCTCAGGGGATTATTTATTGAGTTAGTTGGAAATTTTGTCTCAGAATACAGGTTTACTATAGTTATTGTATTTCAGCTGCATGACTGACTTTTTCTGAATATTCTGAGCTACTCTAAGAGCTATAATAATTTAGATTCAAATTCTTACGTTTGATAATGTTGCAATGTTCTCTCTCTAGAAAACACAAATTCAGTTCTCACATTTGTGACACTGAGTGGGGAATTAAAAGCCAGACAAGTGGAAGATCATATTGTCCTGGACTTACCACTTTACTTAACCTACCCACAGGTCAGTCAAAATTTTACTCGTTAAAGGTTTTCAAGGAAACTATGTCTTTATATTTGTATGTATATCTAAGTATACCTGTATATCTCTAGGTGGGTAGATACATACATATATATATATATATATATGTCCTATTTTTCACAGAGTGGTTTTGTTGTGTTTTTTTTCTTCAGGTACTTCAGGAAGTAGAAGAGTTAATAAAGGTAAAAAAAGAATCTATATGTCGTCTTAGAAGCACATTTATAATACCTATACCTATTTTTATACATGAAAATGGCTGAAAAGTGGCAACATGGCTTTGCTTGATGTACTCCTTGTAACACTTAACCGTGAAGGTCTGAGTCGTGCACCTCAGGAAACGGAGTTCTCCAAAATGGTGGAGTTGAACTTTTGTCTCCTGCCACCATTGACTGGAGTATCGGTGTTTGTTTCAGTGCATTTTCAGCCTATTGTATGCATATGAGGGCAGTCTAGTGTCTGCCCTCATCTAGGTCCCTGAATTTCTTTCCAAGTTGACATACAGAGCTCTCAGTGCATGCCAAATCCATTCATGCACTTAGTGCATTTACTTTTCTTGATTGCATGTACTTGAGGGCTGCATGAAAGACCTTGCATAAGCCCTGTTCTAGCAGGAAATTTGTTTGACAAAAATGTTAAGAAAATAGTATTTCACATACAAATGATGTTTTTCTTTGTCTTCTTTAACTTTCCCACCAGACAGCTGTTGGTGACATGATTGTTCAAGATCTCCGTTACTCTCCTGACACAAAGAAACTCTTAGTCCGTCTCAGTGATGCTTATGAAAGGTGTCTTAAACTTTTTTTTTTTAATCAAGTGTGCAGAAACTGAGTCTGCTTGTTTAGCCTTTATGCCTTACATACTATCCTTTTTTATCTAGTTTTCAAACGGGTGGAAATTAAAAGCTCTAATTGAAATTCCTGTATTACATAGTTATTTTATCTTCTCATGTGAGTTTATTGAACATGCAAAGCTACGTAAAATCAATCTGAAATCTGTTTCCAAGAAGAGGAGGTGTAGGAAACAGTTCTAACGATGGTGTATTTTCCCTGTCCCTCTGAGGGAAAAAAAAAAAAAAAAAAAAAAAAGATTCAGTGACCAAGCAGGAAATTAGGATTCAGTGACCAAGCAGGAAATTAGGAGTCTTGCTTCTCAAATGAAGAAGTAATAGTTGCATAGCTTAGTGAGACAGGGCACTTTGCCAGAATGCCGTGGATTATTGTTCCCATTTGACTGTAATCTTCTTACAAGTACTTAACAGCATCATAAGTAGCTTTATAGAGGAATTTCCAGTTCAAATTATTTAAAAGCATTTGTTAATCTCAGAGAGCTGAATTTCATTGTTAAGTCAAGTATGATTTGGATATATATTGCTGAAACACAAATTCTTTAATCAGGCCAAACGACTATTATTTTTACTTGAAGTTTGGCCTGACTAATGTTTATGGATTGGGCTAGTGGGGAGATAGAAATATTCTCAGCTGACTGTTTTCAGACTTTATCTTGTGGGGATGTGTCTGCAACTTCACAGACTTGAGACTGTTGTAGTGTGCTTTAGAATCCAGTGAAGGTCTGAATGGTGTTAGTTGTTTGCTTATTCTGAAAGGAGGTGGAGTCCTTATTCTTTGCATTCTGTAGTGATGAAGTATTTCTTTCAATAATTAAAATGTTGAAACAGAAGTGTTTACTTTTGTAGCTAACGTTCCAGGATGCTCTGTTTTCAGAAATAAATAGGAAATGCATGGATGAGCTCTTTTCTATGCTCACTCGGAGTGTATTATACTCAGGGTAGTCTTCCGTCAAATGCCACCAGGAGGACAATGCTAGGAATCTCGTTTCCTCCTAACATTTAACCATGGCTGTTTTGGGATTGTAGAGAAGATGATTTTGTAGATTTCTGTTTCTTTTCAGTGCTTAAATTAATGTAAAATGAAGAATATGGGCTATTAAAAATCTATAATTATATTCTAGGTCTGTGCTGGAAGAACTGCAAGTGAATGCACAACGCTTTTTGTCAGCTGAAAAGACAGGAAAGGTGAAAGGACTCATACTCACTCTTAAGGGAAATTCCAGTGGAACACATAAAGGCCCTGATTTTTACTCCAGATACTTTGCACCTTGGTATGGAGTTCTGGAAGACCCTGTTACAGGTATGCTTTTTTGTGATAAGCAACTCTTACTCTTGTTTCAGTTCAATTAAAAGTTTCGTATTAAACTTCATGAATCTGTTTTTGTACTTTGGAGTCTTTTTACAAATTACTGTTTTATACGGACAGCAGGAGTGTGCTCATTAAACTGAAAAATTTCATGACTGATGCCAACTCATTCAGAAAAAATCAGCTGCTTGCTGTCATCAGGCCAGATATTCCTGTGTCTTTTTTAGATATTTTCCCTGGAGTATTCCAATTAGAGAAAAGCACGAGTCTGGTTTGGTATTGAATGAGTATTGCAGTACAAGTTCATATCCACTTCTATTGATATTCTCTTTTTTGGTTTTTTTGAGCTTCAGCTGAGATGTCCTCTAGTTTCATGACACTGATTGTGGATATTCTCAGGCCTGTGAATAATATGAACTCCCCTAGTTCTGTATTTAGGGGCAGGAAGGCTAGTTCTCTGCCCATTCCTTTGATGTTCCTCTCAGTAGTGTGATGGTGATTGCTGCAGAATGATGTTATTTGCTTACATACCAATTAATCACAGGTTAATTATTAGTCAGTTGAGAACTTAGTCAAAAATGCTCATTAAATGTTCTGCTAAATAAAGAGAAAACTTTCTTGGAATACTGCTAGTTATTCAGCAGTACTAGCAGAAAGAAAGGCTTACAAAGAAATATAAGCCATGTATTTCAGTTATTTTTTAAGCTTTCAGTCCTGCTTTCCTGATAAAGCAGGGGACAGAGTATGGTAGACATATCTAATCCCAGAACTCATTTCTTGGGATTTCTGGGAAGACTAGTATTGATACATAGGAAAAGCTAGAAGTTTCCAGAATCTCTGAGACTTTTCTAGGCTTGTTATAGCTCACTGTTGCTTGTCTTCCATCTTTGTGTCCTTTCTTTTGTAGAAATCTTTTTATTGTGTTGCTGAAGTATACTTTTAACAGTATTATGAATTTGTATTATGTTTCTTTTGTAAGGATTTCTTAATAATGCTACATGTCCTGGTGTCTTTGAGCCCTTACAATTATAGTTACTTTAGGGTAGGGTTTCCAGCAGAGTGTCTTTGCCCCTAGCTGCTTATGTAGACTGAAGCAGCATTTCTAGCTATGAATCTGAGAAATCATTCTACGTTTTTATGCCATCTGCCGGTCAGGAAACAAGTCTTTTACCTTTCAGAAGCTGTAGTGTGACTTTAAAGATCTCATCCTGATACTTACCAGCATTCAACACTGAAAAAAACCTTAGGTTTTATTGTGAAAACTGTTAGAAAAAATCTTTTGTTTTACACAGTGACTTCTATCCACCTGTTCCTACTCTTCAAAAAAATCCAAAAGCCTGTTCAGATTTTTGATGGGTAGCTGTTCCTGTTTCATTAAATAACATCATGTTTATATGAATAATATTTTGAATTTAATATTTTCAGATTCTGTTACTAGGAAACTTCACTTTTGGGGAGCAAATGAGTACCTTGGCTTAAGTATTTGAATTGCTACTGTTTGTTATTCCTACCAATTGTGGCTAATAGTGAAGCCCTCATCTAGGCAAAATTTCCATTGAACCCAGAAGATGAGGAAGTAATACTGCTTTATCGCAAATAAATGAAATGTTAAAGCCTTAAGTTCCGTCTGCGGTGCGAACTCTTAGGTGTTTTTGCCCTAGACATGCGTGGCACTGGATTTGCGTATGGCATTTACATTTTGAATGTGCTTGTTCTGTAAAGTAGTGATTCTAATTTAATTCTGTACTTTGTTTTCCAATTTCATTTAAGGATCTGCCCATGCTGTTTTAAGCAGCTACTGGTCAGAGCAGCTGGGGAAGAAAGAAATGCTTGGTAAGAGAAATTGTTTTCTTGCAAAGCTGCCCATTTATGGAAAAGCTACTCACTAAAAAAGAAAAAGTCATATGATTATTAAAATCCAAACTGTAGCAGTAATTCCCTATACATTTTCTCAATATTAATATAATACTATGTAATATTTTGTGTGTGAGGTAATCTTTAAGAAATTGCCTTCTTTCCTGCCTGCTAACATGACACATCATGCCTGCAGGGAGTTTGAAGTCTCAGTTTCTGGATCGTAACTCTCTGCGTTTAGTTTTTGATCTCAGCTTTTGTAATTCAGTTCTCATGACCTTTCATCATAACTGAAGCTTGGTGAACTTCAGGTGGTGTTGTTTTTCTGGTTTGATTAAATTTTACTTTACTTCTTGGTGTTTGTGGCTTGCACTTTGGGTACCAGGAAAGGTATTGGTATTTTCACTCACAATGTGTACTTTTCGGTACAATTGGGACAGTGTTTTCCTTTCCCCTCATGAATGTTAATATGAGATTGAAAAAAGTCATATGGTTTCTGCCTGCTTTTGGATTTTACTTGAGAATCACTTCAGGTTAATCCCACAGTGTTTTCTTTAGGAAACTTAGGGTTTAGAATAACTAGTGTTATTATAGCTAACGAGAAGAGATGATGTATTTTTAACATTTAGATTCTACTTACAGAATGTGCTTTATGGTACAGTTTTTTCTGGTTTCTGTTACATCTGTGTATTTAGGTATGAAGATCAGTTTTTCTCAGGATGATGATCTTTTACACAGTAGCAAGGAAGGATATAAGAAAGAATAGTCACTTACATTACAAGAACAGAAAGAATGTGACTGACATTAAAAATATAAAGATGAGGACAAGATACATGGGCATTGGCAAATTGTATTTGTTTGTAATTTATTTGCAGTCTTACTTTTAAATGATTAAGCCTTGAAGGCATTTGAGATGACTGGACCTCTGAAGTCAAAGAGCAGATTTATTGGTAATTTTTCAATCAATGAGATATGCTTATTTGATCACATATTTGTTGCTAAGCAAGAAACTGAAGAACTTGGTGGAAAAAAACCAAAAGAAACTGTTAATACATGACAGCACTAGATAAAGAGGCATTGGGTGTCGGTATACTTCTCATGTTTCTAGTGCTTTGCCAGAGAATGGAAGAACAGCAGAAGCAATCCAAAATACCCTAGTCCCTATCTGGTTCCCTAAGAGGGGGCAGGGGATGAGAATTCTTCCGTGCACCTGACAACAATTAAGTCTTTGGTAGAAGACTTAATTAGAACAGAGATTGGATCCTTGATCTAATACTGTTGATTGTCTGTAAAAGTAAACACTTTTCCAAACAAACAGCTACCTCAAATGTGAGCCTTCCTATATTTGGTCAAATGAATCTCAAAATGGATTTTCATGAAAATGAAAAGCTCTTCAAAGGGTCTGTTTGCGCTGCATAGCTCAGTACGGTAATCCATAATGACTAAGACCTTCTCCATCATTAATTGAAAGAAAGTTTGACATTCTGTTCCAAAGATCTCATATTTGCATTTACATCACACAAGTCTGTGATAGTTTCCATAATGTTGGGGGAAAAAATCCCAATATATTTTCTGAAGAGTAGAAATTGTCTTTGGTAATACATCCTTAGGGACTAACTATTTCTCAGAAGATTTTGACATTTTCGGATGGTAATGTGGAATTTAAAACTCTTCCATGCCATCTATAGACACTGCATCTTTAAGTAATCAAACAGACAGGAATTCTGTTTTGCATTTTCATGTATTTTGTATGTACTGTGCCATTTCCTCTTTTAGAGAAACCATCTCAAGCAGCAAAGGCAATTGATACTGTAATCAGCTTCGGTAATGTGTTTAGCATCAAAACAAGTCCTATCTGCCCACAAGATAGATCTTTATTTATTTATTTATTTCATATTTCATGCATATGTGTCCTCAAACTACTTTTGTGGTAGAAATCATACAAAACAGATTTAAAGAGAACGAGTTCATTTGACATCTGATCAACATGTTGTCTCTATGTGTGTTTATGAGAAATAAGTCTTCCTTACAAGCATGTGACGGAGGAATATCAGTTAGTACTGGGGTGAATTCTATTACTAATAAGATTATTTGGAAAAAATGGCTGGCAATCAAGAAGATTCCGTATCACCTAAGATTAATAAATAAGAGCATCTTTTGACTTTTTAGAAACCTTTGCGGTAGCGTCTGTAATATCCGACACCTTTTATTGCAAGAATAAAGGAATGTTTTCTTCCATAAAATGAAAGTTCTGTTAGTTCCAAAATAGATCAGATATAAAATAATATAAAAACGAGGAACATTAAATCCATTGTCAGATCTCTCTGGGTATTGTGACCTCTAGGAGGAGGTCAGCTGCATCTCTGCTGAAGTATCAGACGTAATTTCCTGTGTTTGGGTTCTCTTCCTACTTTTATTAGACCAAATTGTCAAACAATAGCCACCCCCATCAACTACAAAGAGAATTTTCCAGTCTTTTTACAAGGTGAAATACGTTATGATCTTTCTTGAAACCATGTACATATCCTTGAATTGAAGCTGAGTGTTAAATCAGAGTTCAGTATCAGTTGCATTTTTTTATTTGAAGAATCTCTGCAATATATAAGAAGTTATAATCTCTTATATCAGATGTATAGACTTTCGTAATTGCTAATGAATGCATTATTTAGCAACTGTCTCTGTATCCAGCCCTTCATAGTTTTCACATTTCTAAGATAACATTTATAAGCATGCATAAGGAACTAGATATAACCAAACAAATTATAGAGGACTTTCCAAATTATTGTGAAGAGAAGGGGCTTTATCCAGCTCAATTTTTAATCTCGGCTGAAGCTAGAGGGATCTTTCAATACCTGTTTACTTCAGACGACTGTATTAATTTGTGGGGAAATTTTGGTTCTTGTTACTGCTTTTAACTTCCCTGATTCCTTCCCAGTACAGAACAGGTTTATAGCATTTGAGGTGTTGTGTTTGGCAACCATAAGCCAAACCTTACTTTGATAACTATAAGATCATACTTTCACAACTTTTGACAGGATTTCTTTCAGTACAAAGTCTGTCCCATCTTCTAACTTTTCAGTCTCCTCACTTTTTTTTGGTTTGTTTCTGTGAAGGATTTGCTTTATTCAGGTAGAATAAATCTACTTGTATTTAAGTTTTTGCTAATTGTAATTCACATGAAGTGGAGAGTTTTGCAGAATTGTACTTGCAGCTTTCATCGTTCCCAGGTAACCTCAATGTAAAGATTGACCACATGAGATTTTTATAAAAAAGTTAACATCTCTGCCAAAGGAGAGGTGTTTCACTCCATCAGTCACCAGATTTACCCACCTTCTTTCGTAGAATAAAAACAAGTCTTGGAGGTCTTAACTTTGTTCAGTTAAGGAACAAGTGCTTCTTTCACAGTCCTTTTATAGGGTTTAGAAATTCGACCAAAATAATGGTGGTTTTTAAAAATAAATAATTTTACAAGAGTTGCACTTGTTCCTGAATTGATGTCATTATAACATCATGAAGAAAATCCGCTACTCCTCAAATCCTGTAAGCAGTGGTCATTTGGATACATCTAGGCTGCCAAGAAGCTCCTCAAAATAACAGGATACTATTAGTGCAAGACCACTGGCCACCTTGTGAATGCAGTGGTGAATGATTCTGTGATATCAGCATGCTCAATCTCACAATCTTTGTATGTACTCTTAAACTTTCCTCTGTCTCAGGTTCTACAGATCAGAATGTACGTATTTGTTTTTATACAAAATGTGTATAAAATGTACATGTAGTATGAGATATCACTAGTAAATCCAGACATGGGATGGATGTGCAACAGCTTTGTGATCCAAAAGACGAGTGCACATCAGAGGTGCTTGAATGTCTCTGGGGACATTGCTATTAAATGAAATCCTCTAGTTATTGAAATGTTCCGTGCAGACATAGTGTGAAGTAGCAGTGCTTCTGTGTGAGAGAAAGAAAAGATCGAGTATTATTTTCACATAAACTTGGGTAAAATTTTCTTTTGTGTGTCATTTTTTTCCTTCTTCTACTTTGGAAGTGTCTTTAAAAATAAAATAAAATGGACGAGTATCAAATCAGTCTCAGTAATCCTGCCATGAAACAGGCAGCACTGGTTCCATGTTTAAAGAAAGAAAAAAACAAAAAACAACCAGCCTCTGAAGGTTTGAAATAATTAATCTCTTTTATTTGAGTCTGCTATCATGAGGGAGTGAGAGAGTTTAGATGTGAATTAGTATTTTGTATACTGTTGCCACTTGGCAATAGTAATTGATCAACTTTATCATGGTCTGGATCTTTAAGTATCCAAAATACTCCAGTTGAAGGCATTACTCCATACATAAATGTCGTTTGGACAAGTTAAAAACAATAATTGGTAGTTCTATAAATATAAGAGATCAAAGTATCTATATCAGTCTTTCTGTAGCTCCTGTTTCCACTGTTTTGGAGTGTTTGCTTTGTCTGAGAATCTAATATCCTGTTACAAGGAAGAGGTTTCTTGTCAGCTGTAGCTGAGAAGTTGTTTTAAGGTGTACAGTATATATGCCATCTGTTAGAGGTCCTGTGCTCTGTTTGGATGTGAATACAATCTCTACCCAATTTACAAATTGTGGGTTTGTGAAGAAAAACATGCCCTTTGGCTTTGAACAACTTTTGGAGTAGCTGGAAATTCAGTGAGTAAGGAGACTGCAAACGTTAATGTCTCATCATCCATTTACAGCCTTTTATGAAAACAGCACTATGTGAAACTCAAACCTTTGCTAAATGCCATGTGAACCAGACCCATTTTCTGCAACTAAAATTGGGCTACTGAAACAAGCCTACAGACTCAACATGCTAAGTGACCATTATCCTCCCACCTGTATATGACTAAACAGTTTAGGCAAAAGTTTATTTTTGTAATTATTTACAAGTGGAAGGCTATTTCTACTTAAACTTTATTCAGCTTTATTAAACGGTAATGTTCAGGATTACGTGAATAGGTATCTGTTCCTGTCTATATAAGAATTTGGTCCCAGGTTGTGACAGCTGAAGCAGCGTCTATGTTTCTTTGAAGACTTTTTCCACTGGCTGCTTGAGATTTTTTTACCCATTAGCTAAACACATTCTTCACATGTAGTATTAGACGTTCACTTTACAACTGGTAAAGTGGTTCTTCATTCTTATGCAGATAATACTTGGTGTTCTTCCTTCTGACCTACAGAAAGTGCCTATCCCATCAATGGGATAATTCAAGACTTCTTTAGATATAGAGAGGAAACCTGCTTGGCTACGTCACAGCAAACTAACCTTCACTACTTGTATTAACTGGCATCTTTGTCAGACTCAATAGACAAGTTCTGTTCTGAGATACACCCTCAGCTAATCTTTATCCGTAAAGAGAATTCATCCAGGCTGTACCTGGAACAGTGCTTGCCCTGGTGCTGCTTGCTTTCTGGAGACAGGCATAATTTCCCTGAGTTTTCATGGATTTAAAAATAATTTGTGGTAGATACTGGCTTTTTAACTGTGGATTCTTGTTTCCATTTAGCTTTTCAATGTTCCCGCCGTGGAGGAGAGTTGAAGATTTCACTGCGTAATGATGGAAGAGTTGACATTGCGGGGCAAATTGCTATTGTACTAAAAGGAAACCTGACATTCTGAAGAAATTGACACTAACAATTTCATCTCCCACACCTTCAAATTATTCATATTATGTTGATTATCTCTTAGCTCTAGGCAGTGAATCACCACTGTCTTCACAAGTCTTTGATTACTTATTGTCCATTTAAAAAAATCGCTTGAAAATGCTCATTTCTGATCTTCAAGATCCTTGGTATTGTTTTCTTCACTTTCATCTTGGCACTTCATATGTACACTGACCTAAGAAACTGTTGAAGGACAGATATCTTGTTTTTCTGCTTTTAAATGGTTCTTTTC